ACACAAAGAGAAAAAAAATCACACTTGAAATGAAAGGAGGCAGAAAGAAGGAAAAAATCTTAAATCTGCCCCTTTTTCCCAAAATTAATTTTAAACAATAATAATCAAGAAACAAAACAAAATAAAAACTTTAATTCCTTTTCAAACAACAACTTTTGATAAACATTATACAGTTTCATATTTCTTTAACAAACTTACTTTAATCATTCTCTTAAACAAACAGATTGAACCAACATTTTTATAATCACTTTCCAGATTATTCCACAATCTTATTCCCTGAACTGAAGTGCATCGATCCTTCAAGTTTGTTTGAATTTTAGGTTTTATAAACATCTCAAGTCCTTTAAGATTATATAAACTTTCTCTCTTAACAAAATATAACTGAATGTTTAAAGGTAAAAAAACTTTTATGAGCCTTATACATAATCTGCAAGATATTATAATCAGCCAACTCATAAAATTTTAATAATTTCAATTTAGAAAATAATATATTCGATGGGTGACAGTATTGTTTTCTGTTGATAATTCTGACTGCTCTTTTCTGTAAAATAAAAATAAAATAGGATTTGTGATTGTTTTGCATGCTTTACCCCAGACTTCAACACAGTAAATCAAGTGTGGAACAATTATTGCATTATATAATATAAACAGTGATTTATCATTAGATAAGTCTCTTACTTTGTATAATACTGCAATGGATTTGGCTATTTTTGTTTTTAAATGATCTATGTGAGATTTCCATGTCAGTTTTCATCAATAATGACACCCAAAACTTTCACCCCACTGACTTTACAAATCTCAACACCATCAACTCTAAATGGAACATCAACAGTTTTCTTTTAATTAGTTCCACTAGCCCCAAAACACTGTCAAATATTTAGGTCCCCTAATTTTAAAGCACCAACACACTGAAAATTTTAGCATAAGCTAATTCTTGTAGGAGGTGGGCTTAAGGTGAATTAAGCTTCTCCCACATCTCTCATACACAAAGTTATGAGGAAAMTTTTACCAAGGTATTTCTCATTACTTTTAATATCTTGACTGTGCGAAGTGAAAAGTGACAATAAGTGAATGTTCAGATGAGTTCAAGTTGATTCATAAAAGACTATGCAATCACTTATTTACACAAATTGAACAAATCATAAATACACTTGATTGTGGGTATTCCTATAAAAAGTGTCAAAGTTAAATGAGATGAAAATCCGCGTCCAAATTTCAATTCACATCAACTTAGATTACTTATATAGAACAGTAAAACATCAGTTCTGATGTTAACAACCAAACAATTTTACTGGCACTTTCAGCTTAAGTTTTGGCAAATGAAGACAAAGAAAAGGAAGAAAGTAAGGTTAGTATTTCTACTAATTTTACTTTAACAAAGTGTGGTTCAACCGGATCAGCACGTCCCTTCTTGCGCTGAGATTTCCACATGACACGTCACCCCGAACACGTCAGTTTTACCTGGTGATGGCTTCTTGAGTCACACCTGGGTAGGAACTGTCTCACCTCAGCTCAGTCAGGGAACTTTTTTATCGGCTCGCTTACTGTTCCTTGGCGAGTAGGTGTTATTTCAGGTAACTTTTCGTCTGTTTCAGTCCAAGCCAGAAAGATTCAAGCTGTACATCCAGTTCCTTCTTTCAAAATAAAATCTCCCCTAGGGAGGTAAAAACACACTTGGAGGCTTGAAGCCTCGGGTGGGACAGCCAGCTGGCGTGCCGGGCCCCGGCCGTTAAGTCTCCCCTATTTAGCTCATGGGCTAGACTTAACAAGCCAAACTGATTCTCTCCGGAGAGAGAACTCAGCTTTCTTCCTAATTGGAATCAGGAAGAAGAGTGTGCCTCAAAGGCGTTCGGGTTAGTAAAATAAACGGACAAACTTTGGTTCCACCCTCAGGTGTAGAGATGAGTCAGAGAAAGAAAGATAAAGATTTGCCAGCCGGCGCCAGACCAAGGTTAAAAATTCTATGGCTGTTCACAACAGGATGATAACCTTTCTCCAGCTTTCTTCTGGTAGACTCTAAGAGAAATCACTGCAAAACATTTATGATGATTAATTAACATTTCTGTCTTATAATCAGTTCTGAACCGTTCTTAGTCCAGATAAATGAAAGATTTTCTCAGGAAAAATCCACAATTATATTACTGTGTTCACAGTAAAATAAAAACAGTGATTTACATAAAAACACAATGAAAACATTGTAATGAGATTCTCTGTGATTTTTTATACCATTATTAATCTTTAAGTCATGATAAGAGAAGTGGTTCCACTTTTCTTGTGACAGTCATTATCATGATTTAACAAATGCATAAATATTCTTAGTTAAACAACAAATGAATCACGAACAGAAGAGATTGTTCTGTCCATTATCTGATTAAGAGAACTGAGAAATTCTCTTCTAGGTTAAAATGACCTGTCATGGCCTAAACAGAGTTCAGTTTGTGACAGAGTTCCTGTCCTCTCGTCAGGCCTGTCTGAGGCCTGCTTCGAGGCAGTAAATCTTGTTTCTTCACTCGAGGTGACCCCTACATTCTAAAGCACTAAAATAACCCAGTCAACCCATGAACATTCTTCAACAGACAACGTGAGTCACATATTGCGATGTTGCTCTCTTAAGACTTATCATTGACATTCAACAGCTGTATTTGGGTTCATACTGTATATTGTCACTTGGTGGATAAGTGACACATATATGAACAAAATGTGACAGCTTTCACCCTCAGCTAACGTTGATCAATAACATTTATAGACCTCAGTTAGTGCTTCTAAATTTAGCCTATAAATTTAGAAAGTGCTAATCCACTAATAAATTTTAAAATTTGCAAAAGCCCTAAAGCACTAATCAGGAATTAGTTCCTCTATTAGTGCTTTAGTGCTTTAGGGGAACTGTGCCCACCACTGATATAAAGCTTAAAAAAGTTGATTTTAAGTGATATTTCCCTTTTAACAACTTGTTGCCTGAACTTTTCATGTTAGTTTGAAACAGCTAAATGTGAGTTTGCATGTATGTCATGAAACTTTAATTTCTTTAGACCAATCAGAAATGTTTTCAGAAATGTTAGCTTGTCAAATGAAGTTAGTTGCCACATTCTCTTGTGCGGACCACACCTTCTCTCTTATTCCCACACCTGATCCTGACCCTCATTGTCTCACCTGATCCTGACCCTCATTGTCTCTGCCCACTTTGTTGGGAGTTTTTCAAAATTTGCCTCGGGTTGGGGTTAGTTACACTTTAAATGTTAAGATTTATCATTAGTTTCTAATTAAACATGGAAAGCTCTTGTTCTTCTAAAGGTTTAATTGGATTATGAACATGTTGTCTGTGTATCACAGAACTGATGCTGAAAGTTCATCTCAGCATTTGGAAGCTCTGCAGAAACTTTCAGTAACTCTTGAAGAACAAAAAGGTGTCCTTGAAAACCTGAAGGAGCAGAAGCAGAAAGTCATCCCGCATTTGAACTTAGATGACAAAGAGCTGGTGAAAGAACAAATCAGCCACTTTGAGCAGAGATGGTCTCAGATGCAGAATCTGATTGAAAGAAAAGTCCAGGACTCCATGGTGACTCTGGATGACATGAGACAAGCAGAGGCCCGCCTGAGAGAGGCTCGGGACTGGGCCAAGGAGCAGCAGCCGGCTCTGTCTGAGGCCATGAAGATGAGCCCGCCCCCTGAACTGGCACACAGCTTCCTGTTCGACCACTTGAGCATCTGCAGTGAATTGGAGGCCAAGCAGCTCCTTCTGGCTCAGGCCATGGCTGATGCCGACCGGGTTCTGCCACGGCTGGGCCTCAGTGAGCGCCAGCACCTGCAGCAGCTCATTTCTGACACCCAGGCCGAAGTGGAGTCTCTGAGTGTGAAAGTGGTGCAGCGAAAGAAACACCTCAGCAAGGCTTTTACAGAGAGGACACATTTCCTGATGGCCGTCAGTCAGTCCATTTCCTGGGTTCAGCAGAACGAGAAGAAGGCCCAATCAGAGGAGCACATCGCTTTGTTACCCGATGACTTAGCCAAGCAGGTCCGAACATGCAGGAACATCCAGAGCAGTCTGAAAGCCTATCAGAGCGAGCTCACCTCCCTGTGGTCTCAAGGCAGAGACTTGATGAGAGAGGCCAGCGAAGAAGAAAGAAACGAGATTCTCACAAAACTGCAGGAGTTGCAAAATGTTTTCGACAGAACTCTTCATCGGTGTGGTCAGAAACTCCAGGAGCTTGAAAAAATACTCGTCTCTAGGAAGTATTTTAAGAACGATTTAGAGAAGATTTGCCAGTGGTTAAAACAAGCTGACATTGTTACTTTTCCGGAAATCAATCTGATGGTGAGTGATGCTGAGCTCCAGGCACAGCTGCTGAAGTACCAGCAGATCATTGAACAGGCAGTGGAATATGAGAATCTTCTCCTGATTGTACAGAGAGCAGGTCAGGAGGTGCTGCCCACTCTGAATGAAGTTGACCATTGCTACCTAGATGAAAAACTGAACACCCTCCCTCAGCAATATAATAGCATCTTAGCACTGGCCAAAGAGAAACAGGAGAAAATCCAGCAGGCCATCCTTACAAGGAACGAGTACACATCTTTCATAGATGTCACACATAAAGCACTGAAAGAACTCGAGGAACAGTTCAATAATCTGGCAACGCAACTTGTTGGGCTACAAACGGAGGAAGTTGTCAGTCTGCAGAGCGATTACAAAGCAATTCTGGCAGACCTCAGCAGCTTGGGTCTGGCTGTGAGTGAGCTGAATCAGAAGAAAGAGGGATTTCGTAGCACAGGGCAGCCATGGCGCCCAGAGGAAATGACCCAGCTCGTCAGTCTGTATAATGGACTGAAGAGGCTAGTGGAGCAGAAAGTAGAGCATCTGGAGGAAACCTTGGAGTCTTTTGAAGACCACAAGGCCATGGCCATGCAGGTAGACTCTGAGCTAAAAGCCACAAAGGAGCAGCTAGTTAAAGTGACTGCAGAGACACAGTCAGCTGAAGAAAGGCTGAAGAACTACCACGCTCTGGCAGGAAGTCTCCAGAGCGCCGACTCCCACCTGTCCAGGCTCATGGAGCAGATGGATACCCTTGCCCCTCGTGTGGACCGAGCAGCTCATGATGCTTCTAAGGAGCAGGTGGTTTTGTGGCAGGACGAGCTGCGGTCTTTACAGGCTGCAGTGGGGGAGCTGATCGAAGAATGTGAGAACAGGTTCATCCAAAGTAAAGACTTTGAGACGGAGATGAAAAAGACCCTGGACTGGCTGCACCGCACCAGGGATGAACTGGACTGTGCTGTGATTGTCGACGTCAGAGTGGAGAAAGTGCAGGAGGAGATCCGGAAGCAACAAATCCTGCAGGAAGAAGTTCAGTCCAGACTGAGAATAGTGGCTGCTCTTAGTAGCCGAGAAAAACACGAGTATAACAGTGCCAATGAGCTTGTCCCCGCCCACGTCTATACTAACCGGGAAGAAATGGCAAAACTGCAGGCAGACGTGCAAAAGGCCCTGACAGCCAAGCAGGTGGGCCAGTCTTCCTTTCAGTATATGTACACATTCAGTTGTAATGTTGATGGGTCTCATAGAATACCTGAATCAATATTTGTCTTTTCCCACTTGGTTTCATGTGAAGATTACTCTAGAGGAAGCCTTGGTGTTGTGTCAGAAGTACCACTTCAGGATGCAGTCAGCCTGTGAGTGGCTGGAGGATGCTGTGTCCTTCCTACAGCAGGCCAGCTTGGGAGTGGACGTGGAGAACTACGAGGAGTGTCTCCGGCAGCAGGCAGACATCATGGCGACAGAGCAGGAGTTTCTCATCCACCTGGACGAACTCCAGACTCTGCTGCCTCAGCTAGAGAACCTGGTAAATCCCACAGCTAAAGAGCAGCTGCGAGTGAGTGTGGAGTCGGCAAAGCAGAGAGGAGTAGAAGTTCGAGATCAGCTGCAGTGTCATCAGGACGTCCTACAGAGGTAACAGCAACTAACAGAACAGAAGCTAAAATTAACAACACAATGCATTATAAGCTAAAATAAGCAAAACTGTTGCAAAAAACTATAGAGCAAAGCAAAAGGTGAAGGCTAAAGTTAGCAAATCTGTCGCTTATTAGGCAAAAACTGTAAAAATTTGCTAAATCTTTGCTAAAAGCTAAGATTAGCTAAATATAAAAAAAAAATTAGAAAACCATGGCCAAAAAAAGAAAGTAGCATAAGAAGATAAAAATTGCTATTTGGAGAGTCCCTCATCCATGTGAAGATCAGTCACAGCTCCACGATATACTATATACCAGAGATTCTAGCGCCACCTTGAGGGCCTCAAAAGAACAACAGTTTTTAACTTTGGGCTGCAGAGGGCAGTGGGACCGCATTGATTTTGAATAAGGTGCAATACACTTTCTCACCACTAGTAGCAGTAGTGCGCCACTCAGTAGTTTAACAACTTTTTTAATATGTAGAAGAAGGCCAAAGTTTGCCACTAATATGAAGTGCAGCTTCTGGTTCTACCATGCAGTATTTTAAAAGTTCAAAACATTATCAAATACAGTTGCAGTTACTGCTATATTTTAATTTGCACTTTATCAAATTAATTTTTGCAGTTAATTTTTTAATATTTTGAATGTAAATTAAAGAAACTTTAAACTTGTCAAAACGCTGTTGTTACTGTTATTGTTTGTCACTAATATGAAGAGCAGCTTCTGGTTCTACCATGCAAAAGTTTATAAAGGCTATATTTTCATTTGCACTTTATCAAATTGTTTTTTTACAGTTTTTTATATTTGAAACATTAAACAGTTTTAATTTATTTATTTTATGATCACAATTTTATTTATTGAATTG